CCAGTGGCATCCAGGGTCTCTGGGGTTCTTGTCCCAAAGGGCCCCAAAGCCCATGGTCCAGCAGGGCAGAATGGGAACTTCCCAGGAGGTGCAGGCAAACCTGCTGGGATGCCTACTACAGTGCTGCAGGTCCTGGGTAGTGCCCCTAGGTGATGCAGGACCATGCCTGCCCTGCAGCATGGTCAGCTGCCGGGTCAGCGAGCCCCACTAGGCATGTCATAGGATCATGCCATGATTTAGTTTGAAGCTGCTTATCTTTTGACATTTGCTTTATCTCTTCCTGCCCCGTGGTAATGATCCTGCTCGGGCTGTAGGAAGGAGAAGACCTCCCTGTGCACCAAATCACAAGTGGCTTTTGTCAGGGCTGAAGATGGGATCAGCCATGCTGGGTGGGACACTTCAGTCCCAGCCACAGGGGGCTCGAGAAACACCACCTCACTGGTCTCTTCGGCCTCTTTGGTTCCTGCCCAGGCACAGTGATGAAGGTGAACCTTCACTGTGATGAGGCTTTTCATTAAACATCCCGCTGACCAGAAACCAACCCCCGCAGGATGGCAAGTGCCTCACGTCCCAGAAGGATCAGAAAGCCGGACAGTTACCACCACCCACTGCTGTCCCAGTGCTGCCAGCCTGACAGGGAAGGTTTTTCTTTCCCAGCAAGATGGAATGGAAATGAGCTGTCAGAAAGCTTCAGCCTTGGCAGCCTTTTCTCTGCTTCCAGTCCTCCTCCTCTAGGCTGCATTTCCAGGGCTGATGCTGTCCTTCCCCTGCCTTGCAAGTGCCCTGTTGGAGAGTTGGTATCTGGTTTATCCTTTAGTTTTTTTCTCCCTTCAGGTGCCTAATGGGATGAGGCTTTTATGCCAGGAGTGTAGGACTGTTGGATTGCATCTGTTTTTCCCACCATCCCCTTTCTCAGGTGTTCCCCTGCCCCACAGCATGTCCTGGTGTGATCCTGTGTCCTCGCAGCCTCTCTTGCACACGCCCCCGTGAGCCATTTTAGGGAGGTTTGGATTTTGGTGGCAGTGCCAGCGGCTGCTGTGGGTGGCAGGCGATATCTTTAGCTATGAGTCACTCAAGATGTCTCCGTGTGTCCAGGTGCAGCACTGGGTTTCTCACACTGCTGTGCATGATTTGGTTGTCTTTGCAAGAGGTTCATCTGCTCAGTCTATGAGTATGGGAACAGAAGCAAGAAGCTGGAACAAAACAAAGAGACCTAATATGGCACATTGGTACCTCTGGTCTGTGCACACCCTAAAGTTCTCTCTTCCTACCCTGTGTCCCATGGGGACTGGCAGGAGAATTTCCCAAGCTAATGCCTGATCATGATATTAATACACCTCAATGGGTCCCTCTTCCAAGATCCTGCCCCATCTTCCAATGCCATCACATATCCTTCTTGCACCTCTGACCTCCTGTGGGAGGAGACCCACGGCATCACTGGGTATTGTACCATGAACAGCCTTTGAGGGTAGCTCAGCCTGTCTTGGTTGCAAGAGCTGTTTGCCTGATCTGGGGCATCCAGAACCAAGCTTCAGTGAGTCTAAGTGACCCCAGGCTGGCCTTGCAGAGGGAAGAGACTTACTGGGCAGGACAGCATGTGTGCAGCAGCTTTTCTTCTTCTTTTTAATGTTCCTGAATGAAGACTGACCTTTCTGCAGCCATTCAGTACTGGGCATCTCCCCAAACCCCTCCTTTGCTGGGAAGAGGCTGCCGTACAGCTGTCAAACTTGAGGCCAGGGTGAAACATCCAGGTTCCTGGAGATGTCTGCTAAAGCTCCAGGATGTGTCTGGGATCACTCAGAGTTGTTTTTCCTCTCTGTGAGAGGGTGAACTTGAGTGAGGATGGATGCTGTAGGATGTGTCACCTCCTGAGAAGGATGCTCCATTTTAGACTGCAGGGCCTGATCCAGCATCCCTGTGTGTCCCTCCATATGTGTGTCCAGAGGGGTTGGCCATGCTGAAGGGACTGTTCACCATGTGGTGCAGGCACAAGATGGGGCTTGAGGGCAAGGTGAGGGGAGGCTGAGCCATCTGTTCTTGTCTACACCCAGGGGACATGCTGCGCCTACGCACAGTGCTGGAGGCCATCCAGAAGAACATCCACTCCTCCTCCTTGATCTTCAAGCTGGCTCAGGATGCATTCAAGATCGCCACACCAGCTGACAGCAACTCAGACACAACACTGCTCAATGTGGCACTGGAACTGGGGCTCCAGGTACGGAATAATGCTGGGGATGCTGGTGGCCCTTCTGCCCCATGCACTGTGGCAGTGGCACTGGTGATGGTCTTCCACCAAGCAGGGTGTCCCCCATCTAAGGAGCAAATTCATCCCTGCATAGTCCGAGCAGGGGACCTCAGCCCTGGGAAGCCCCTGTGCCTGCTGCGGTTTGGGTGGAAGTGAGGCAGCACTAGGGAGTTGGTAGGCAACTGGACCAGGGAGACTTTTGGGGAGCACCACTATGTTGGGTGGCCTCACTGGAGCCCTGTGGGGCAGCTGGTCACCCCAAGTTTGCCTCACAGGTGATGCGCATGACCCTGTCCACCCTCAACTGGCGGCGGCGGGAGATGGTGAGGTGGCTGGTGACGTGTGCGACCGAAGTCGGGGAGTGCCTCCCTGTCCTGGGGGGACCTGGCCTGCATGTGGTGGAAGTGGAGTTGGACATGGAGATCCTAGGGTCATTCATAGCCCTGGGCATCTGACTACTCCTGGGTCTCCCATATCTTCCTGAGTAACTTGAGTGCACCTCAGAGCGCCAGCTGGCAGAGCTGGGCCTGCAGGAGTGGCTGGGTTTGGGATTGGGATGGGTCTCCTGTACCCAGGCCGGGCCAGCGGTGCTCACTGTGCCCTTTAGCATGGCAGTGCAGGGTAACCTCTACCCTGTCCCTTTCTGCCCTGTCCCTGCTGGGGCAGAGGCAGCAGCTCAGCACTGCCATGGGCTGGCTTTGGCCTGTCTCTTCACAGGGAAGAGCCGTGTGAACTGAGCCAGGCTCCAGAGCTGTGCTCTGATCTCGGTGTTTTCTTGCAGGGGTGAGGGCCCTGGTGAGCATCCTGCAGAGCTGGTAAAAACCCGGCATTGGGCCAGCCACAGTGATGTCCCACAACACCATCCTGCGCCTGAGCCTGGACTACCCGCAGCGGGAAGAGCTGGCCAGCTGCGCCCGCACCCTGGCACTGCAGTGTGCCATGAAGGACCCCCAGAACTGCGCCCTGTCCGCCCTGACCCTCTGCGAGAAGGACCACATCGCCTTCGAGACCGCCTACCAGATCGTCATCGATGCCGCCTCCACCGGCATGACCTACACCCAGCTCTTCACCATCGCCCGCTACATGGAGCACCGGGGCTACCCGCTCCGGGCGTTCAAACTGGCCTCGTTGGCCATGACGCATCTCAACCTGGCCTACAACCAGGACACACACCCAGCCATCAACGATGTGCTCTGGGCCTGCGCCTTGAGCCACTCTCTGGGCAAAAACGAGCTGGCGGCCATCATCCCACTGGTGGTGAAGAGCGTGCACTGTGCCACGGTGCTCTCGGACATCCTTCGCCGCTGCACCATGACAGCCCCGGGGCTGGCTGGCATCCCTGGCCGCAGGAACTCGGGGAAGCTGATGTCCACCGACAAAGCCCCCCTGCGACAGCTGCTGGACGCGACAATAAGCGCCTACATCAACACCACCCACTCCCGGCTCACCCACATCAGCCCACGGCACTATGGGGAGTTCATCGAGTTCCTCAGCAAGGCCAGGGAGACCTTCCTCCTGGCGCAGGACGGGCACATACAGTTTGCCCAGTTCATTGACAATCTCAAACAAATCTACAAAGGCAAGAAAAAACTGATGCTGCTGGTGCGGGAACGGTTTGGGTGAGCCCCGG